CAGTCTTGTAAAAGAACAAAGCTTGAGGTTTTACGCTTCCTGATTTCAAAATTTTTTATAAAACTAAAGTAATCAAGACACAGCAGTATTAGCATAAGAATAGATGAATATATCAATGGAACAGAATAGAAGGTTCCAAAACAGACTCAAACTTACAGGGTCAATTGGTTTCTGTCGAAGAGATCTAAGCAATCCAATGGGAAAAAGAAAGTTTCTGACAAATTGTTCTGGAACACCTGGATATTCCTTTGGGGGAGAAATGAACCTCAACTCCTACCTCATACCACAAACAAAAATTAATTTGAGATGGATCAGAGACCTAAACATAAACACTAAAACTACACAACTCTTCTAAGAAAATAATGGAGAAAAATCCTTTGTGTCTGGAGGTGGGCTAAAGACAAAATGCCCACCAAACTGAGAAGGTATTTTAAGTCCGAAAAACGAAGGAAGCACTTCCATGCAGTAAGCAAAGATTTTTATTAAAAGGGCAATTACTTGCAGGATGATGGATCAGACGGGCAGTGACCCAGGAGCATTTGCAAAGTTTCTCTGCGCCACCTCCTGGTTGAGCCCAAGTTTACTTAGCAGTTCACACAGCAGTGGAAAAAGCCAAGAAGCAATTACTAACTAGGAAACAGGCTAATGTCACTGACTCCAAATGTCTTATGAGAGTGATTATTATCTTTGGTGGTCTTGTGATGCGGGTAGCTGGACCGGCTGTGGCCGTACCAGTACTTAATCATTAGACCCCTTTCTTTATAGTCAGCAGCTGTCCCTACCTGTCATTCTAACTACCTGGCCTCCTGGCTGCTGCTTCACTTCTGTGGGCAGTGGTCCTGCAAGGGACACAGCTAGTGTTAGTTAGGGGTTTTAAAGATGGAGCAGCCTCACACTTTGTGACTGGAAAGAAAGCAAAGACTTTTTAGACAAGACACACAGGATTTCTTAAATAGGACATGGGACAGAGTCAGGACACCACAGAAGAAAATTTTGATAAATTAGGCTTCATTAAATTAAAAATAAGTGCTTATCAAGACACCATAAGAAAATTCATAGCAAGCTAACGACTGGGGAAGAAATTCACAAAACATATGTGACAAAGGATTTGTGTTCAGAACATATAAAGAACATATTGAATTCCTAGAATTCAATAAGAAAAGGGCAGATCACCGATTTTCAGAAATGGACAAAAGTTGTGAACAGATCTTTCATAAAATAAGGTATACACATGTTCAGTAAGTACGTGGAAAAATCCTCAACACCGTTAGTCATCACGGAAATGCAGAGTAAAGTCCCAGTAATATTTCACTACGCACGCACTCTGGTGACAGAAGAGCTGGAGAGATGGGGAGTGCTTGGAGCTGCACGCGCTGCTGGTGGGGACGTGGGGCGCTGTGGCCGCTGCGGAAGACTCTCACAGCTCCTCTTAAGTTACGCATCACCTGCCCTTTGACCCAGCAGTCCCACTCCTGGTGGAGCTTCATTCCCAAGGGGACAAGAGCGCATGCACACACACGTGCACACAAAGGCTTGACTGCTCGCGTAGCAGCTTTTATTCACAGTAACCCAAACTTGGAAGCAGCCCAGATGTCCCTTGAAAGGAGGATGGATGAGAACAAACTGTCATTCATGCCACTGGTTAGTGCTCAGCAGTGAAAAGGAAGGGGCTTGCTGATGCAGGCGATGGCATGAGCGGATGGCTCTCCAAGACATGATGCTGAGAGACAGAAACAGACAAAATGCCTGGTGCCACTGACGTTCCACAGCAGACGAAACCAATCTGTGGCGAACCACAGTCAGAGGCTGGTCCCCAGGAGGGACTTTAGGGGAGAGGAAAATGGTCTATAACGCGAGAGGGGCGTGGGTCGCGCAGGTGTATCCATTAGACTGGATCTAGGTCTTTATAAACTGAGCAGAACTGTTGTGAAATCCTGTGGGTGGCATTTCGCACTGTGCTCGAGGCACACATACCTACATACAGGTGTGTCAGTTCTGCCTTAAAGCTCGGGCCGGGGCAGAGCGAGGTGGAGGTGGGACTGTACCACTCAGGCACCTTTCTCACGTGCCATCAGTCCACGTGGGCTTCGAAGCATCTTTCAAGTCTCATTTTCCAGGAAGTGTCTCGACCACCCCAGCCTTCACTGTCCTCCTCTTCATCAATCACCGCAGCTCTTGTGTGGCCGGTGCCTCCTGGACCCCAACACCCGCAGCCTGCACCTTGTATTTCTCTCAGTACTTCCCAGTGCTGACTTCCGAGCTGGCACATCCTAAGGTACTCAGGAAATGGGAGCACGTGGCCACTGGAGTGGGAGGCACACAGCACGGGTGTCATCTCCCTGGGACCTGGGAGATCCCGGGTGGCTCACTGGCCCCGGGCTTTCCCACCTGTGCGGTGAAGGGCGCCGCGCTCACCTGGGAACATGAACAATTTGTAACTCAAGAGCTGGTTCTGGCTGCACAGAGGTCTTTGTTGGAATGGATTCTGGGATGGGTGGGCCAGAGGCCTGCAGTCAGTCAGGATGTCCCCACAGTGTGGGGTGAGAGGGACCCCTCTGCTGGCTGTCTGCCATCCCTTTGCTGGAGGACCCCGCGGCCCCTTTCCAGGCCCGGCTTGTAGCCACGTCATCCATTTCATTGGCTCACAGAATATTCAACAAAGCCCCCCGCCCTCACTTCCTTCCACCTGGCCCATGCCCACAGGCGCAAAGCTGGTGTGTGAGTGGACCCGTTTGCCTTCGGGCTCAGCAGCCTGCAGCCCCCTGCCTCGCCTCGGATCCCCACTGCCAGCATCCTCGGTGGTGTGCAGCCTCGCTCTGCTACACGATCAAACTCTGGGGTGGCCGGCTCCTGCCGAAAAACACGCCTGCAGTCCCTTGCCAGGATCCCCCATAACTTCGCAGGCAGAGTGGCAGGGGCTGTTTCCTTGGGGGCAGCATCTGGAGAGACAGGGGAGGTGACATGTGCCATCGCGAGTGACAGTTGCCAGTACAATCGCCAGACCCGCCTGGAGGACGGACCTGCGGGACGGGTCTGTGATAGAACCCACGTGCTCACAGACACCTTCATGTCTGTTCCGAGGGGAGCCCCTGCCGCCAGAGTGTGGGCCCAGCCTATCTGGAGGCTGCTTTGCGCCCCAGAATCTGTTCTGGACGACTGGCGTCCAGGCAGACTTCTCACAGTGGAGGGTGGGCAGGGAGGGGCGAGAAGCGTGGCCCTGAGCCCAGGCTCGGCCCCAGCCCTCTACTTAACCACAGTGTGTTTGTTACTAGTCTGCAAAATGGCCACAGTGCTGTCTCTTTGTAAGGATTTTGTGGGGCTAGGAAGCCTAAATGTTTTTCAAGTGCCTGGTGCAGGCATGGCACCCAGGAGCGTGGCACATGGGTAGCTATTCATGTAATTGTCCCAGGGTTCTGTTAGCTTGGTCTTGCCACGTGTCATCTGTCGCCGGCTAGCTTCTGTGCTCCGGCCGGCTTTTGGCGTCCTCACAGCTGCAGTGGTGCAGAAAGTCAAGGAAAGCACGGCGGCCTGCGCTTTCGCCTGGCTCACTGGCGGGCTGCGGGCGGCAGGCTGCGGGCTTACCCAGTCAGGGGGCTGAGCCTGCCCTCCAGCACCCCCTAGAGAGAGGCCCTCCCGGGGGAGGGGCCAGGGCTTTGATGGGACCCTCAGCTGCAGAGGCCTTCCTTGAAGATAAGCACGCCCTCCCTCTGTCAAGTAGATTTTGAGTGATCTTCCCTGACCCCAGCCCAAAAACGTGACAGCTGATGTTCAAAAGTAAGGTTTGAGTGACGCCAGGGCAGACTGCTTGGCTGGGGATGCCATTCGTAAACTCTGTGAGCCTCCATCCTTCGTTCCTCTGCATGCTGGGCTGGGGCAGGGAGTGCATCTCTGTATTTCTGTGCCCCTGGAAGTGAACTTTGCCAGGCCGTGCTTGAGGCTAGCCAGCACAGAGCTGAGGGCACGCAGGGCTGGCCTCTGAGCCAGGCTGCTTGAGGATAGACCCATCTGCAGAGCTGAAGGCCCTGATCCACCTGGGCCTGGGGTGGCCCCTGCCCCTGAGCCTGGGGCACGGTGACACCCCAGTGGGGCCTGTGGGAACAGGTGGGTGGTTGGATTGGCTCATTTGCTGATCTGCTGAGCACCTCCATGTGTCAGGAGTGGAGGCTGAGAAGGGGCGAAGAGGTTGTTGGTGCAGGGAGGAGACGGGCTTATCAACAGGCATTCACATAATCATTGGAAATGCAGCCAGAGGAATCACACCAGGACATGAGCGCCTGGGACAGTCTGGATCACAGATTGAGGGGGGATGCCCGAGGGCCTCTTGGAGGAGGCATCCCAAGACCTAAGTCCTGCAGGCAGAGGGGTAACTCGGAGCCGAATCAAGACACAGCCGTGAGCTGAAACAAAGCTTCGTTGAATTAAAGCGTAGGTGGTAATTCCCTTGGTGCTAGTTTGGGAAGGCACATCACAAGCTTTCCACGCTGCCTCCTTAGTGCCTGACGTGGAAGATATCCACGTGTGGGCTCCGTACCCTTGACCTTCACACCTCTGCCGCGAGGACCATGGAGACCCTGGGCTGAGCTGAGGGTGCGGGGCTCTAGATCACAGGCATGGGCCAGGGGAGAGGGGGTTGCAGTCTGGAGCAGGAGCTGGGCACTCCTACTGACTAGCTGCGGGAGGGTTCTGGTGCTGGCAGGGGTCTTGTCCCTGGGCCTCTGGTGTGTATCCCCAGCATTTACTAAGGGCTGGAGAAGTCAGGGCTTTATCCTGGTAGGTCCTTCTAATATGAGTGTCATGTAGGCAGCAGGCGAAGCGTGGGGTGACGCTCTCTACACGGGCTGATTCGAGTCCACAGAGGCCCCACGGGGCGGGTGCCCCACCCCATTTTGTAGACGAGGAGACTGAGGCCGAGGCGGGTGACTCCCCGAGGCCCCTTGAGCTGTGTCCCCTCAGTCAGGTGCCTGGTCCTTGCTTTCCTCTAACCCCCCTTCTCCTTGCAGCGAGCATGACCTGGGGGAGGACATCTACGACTGTGTCCCGTGTGAGGATGAAGGGGACGATATTTATGAAGACATCATCAAAGTGGAGGTGCAGCAGCCCATGGTAAGCCCGCCCCCTGCCTGGCCTTGCTTCACAGACTCTGAGCTGATCCTACATCGGAGCCACCGAGGGGAGCTGCTCCAGGTGCAGGGGACATCAGAGGGTGCCCCCCATGGTCCTCCCTGGTCCCCATGGGGTTCCTCTATGGAGTATCCTTGGAAACCCTTCCTTGCTCCCAGCCTGCTTCATGCCCTTCTTCTCTGTGGAGATGTTCCAGGGTGTCCCAGATGTGACACTGTGGCCATCGAGACCCTCCGTCCATGTTGTTATGGAGCTCTCCTTCCAAGGATTTGCAGGGTCCTTAGTTCTTCCTGCCCAGGGAGCCTTAAAATAGTAACTCCACGCTCATTCTAACACAGCACGCCTCGCACTACCCCTTTGTGCAGGGAGCGGTGAGGGACACTGGCTGAATCAGCAGCTGTGCGTCTTTTATGTCGCGAGCATATTAGTTTCCGAGCAGGCGTTGGCAAGTAATATCTTGGACTCCAGTTTGCTCCAGCACGAGTTTATTGCCAACAGCTGCTGTGCAGAAGGCGGGGTCGGGCCAGGCTGGGAAGGGAAAATGGGACCTGGTGGGGCAGGCCCCCAAGCCTCTGTGGAGATGCCTCTTGCCACCGGTGGAGGCTTCTGAGGCCATTCACTTTTGTGGAAGAAACGGGAGGCTTCTCAAAAAGCAACTTCAGTGTTTTCCTTCGGTGTGGGAGGAACCAGTGGTGGCGGAGAAACACAAAGCTGGGGACACAGGTCCCCAAGGGGGCCTTTCGAAGAGGCACATCTCATGCTGATGGTGTCCGGCTGCAGCAGTGGCTTGTGCTGGGGGGTGCTGGGCTGTGGTCTCATGCACCCAAACTTTACTCTCCAAACAGGTTTCTCATTTTGCCCTGAAAGGACCTGAAGGTGGGTTTCCTTCCCTCCATCACCAGGGGTCTCACTCAGGAGGTGATAGGTCCTTGGTGGCGAGGCAGCAGGACTGAGAGCCTGTGGTTCCCAGGGAGCCTTGCAGCCGGCAGCTCTGCTCCTGAGCCTTCCGGGGCAGTCTGTTAGGGGACGGGAAGGCTGAACCATTGCCCCCCACTGCCGGAGGCCCCCCTCACCTCTCCAGAGCTGGCTTGACACGTCCTATGACAGCCTAGCCAGCCTTGTGGCTTTGACAGTGCGCCTGTGGGTGCAGTGGCCTGAGGTTGTCTGGAGCATCTCTCATCCCCCTCCCCTGGGCCATGCAAGCTCTCTCTCTTGAGAACCCCATCTGTGCCTGGCCAGAGACCACAGAGTGGGCACTCCCTGGAGCCCGCTGCTGTCCCTGGTCCTGAAGCCCCTGGGGAAGGCTCCAGGGTTGTTTGCAGAACCTGCTGGGGCTGGGAAAGTGGTTGCGCATGTCCTGGGGACGAGCTGGCATCTGCCTGTCCCTCTCTGCCCAGCACTCTGCTGGTGCACTCTCCAGCTGTCCAGTTGATGCAGGCAGAGGGAGCCGGGGGGCTGCTTCCTGCCAGGGTCCTACGAGATAAAACAGCTCGTTTTATTTCCTCTCCTTGTCACGTCTGGAACTATCTGAACAGTCTAAGTAGAAGGTAATGAGGATTGTGACTTCTCCAACAGAAGATAAATCCAGAGGATGGCAGGTGCTGCCCGGGCATGGGGAAGACCAGCCGGGGTGGCCCCGGTCCCTGAGCTCTCTACTTCATGCCCTACCACGCCGACAGGAAGGGCTCTGATGCGGCTCTGGGGCTGTTGTCTAATCAGGGAGGGGTGTCCCTGATGTCCCCAAGCACAGCTTGGGAGAACAGCGTCAACACTGCTAATTGGTTCTGTCTCTCATTTATTTCTCCATGCTTTCAGATTAGGTACATGCAGGTAAGTGGCAGGTAAGGGAAGGCCAGGGGGGCGTCCTACCAGCGCTGACTTCACAACCTTTCTGGGAGGTCTCAGGCCTCCTTGAGAAAACTCAGGATCCAGGGAGACACCATCATGCACACATGGTTTCAGGAGGATCATGGGCCCTCAACACCCCCATGAAGCCCCACAAGTAACAGTGCCACCTCAAGAGTAACAGTGTGGCCCCAGGCCCCTAGAGTAACAGTGCAGCCCTGAGCATTAACAGTTCAGCCCAAGTGTTAACAGTGTGACCCCAAGAGTAACAGTGCGACCCCTAGAGTAACAGTGTGGACCTGACGGTAACAGCCCTGAGGGGTAATTGGCGCTGGGACCTGTGCTCTGTGGCTGGTGGGGCCTCAGGAAGTTGGTTGTCACCACTTGCTGTATGCAGGGGACATTCTGCACACAGTAAGTGCTTTAAACGAGTCACACCTGCAGTATGTGCTGGAATGGTCGGTTTCTGAGGTCCTTGCACTGGTCTGGTGAAGAACTGAGATTCAGAATCAGGGAAGTGGGGTTCTAGAAGCCTCTGTTCCTACCTTGGTGCTGTCTCCATGTCACATCTCTTCCCAGTGCCTCAGTTTCCTCATCTGCAGAAGGGAAGGGATGGGAAGGGGTTGGGCTCCTCCTGCCTCCCATCTGGCCCTACTGTTTCACGCTCGGCAACCTCGGGGCCAAACCCGAGGAGGCATCCTCTTGGGCGGGTTGGGGCATGTGGCCTGGGGTCTCACAGCACAGGTGCACGGGTGGCGGGGCCCACGGGGACCCTGGCTCACTGCCCGTGTCCTCCCTCTAGAAGATGGGCATGACAGAGGACGACAAGCGGAACTGCTGCTTGCTGGAGATTCAGGAGACTGAGGCCAAGTACTACCGGACCCTGGAGGACATTGAGAAGGTGAGGGTGGGCTTTGGCCGTGGGGGCCAGGGCAGGGCTGCGGTGTGTCTGAGACCCTCCCCCAGGTCTCCTTCTCTGAGCCTAGATAGGGCGTAATCATGGTTCCCGTTGCTGGGTGTGCTCTGAGCCAGCACTGAGCCAGGCTCTCATGTGCACCCCCTCTCCTCGGACGCCTTCCCTCACCTCTGCCCGGCGTCCGCCTCTATAAACCAGTGGTGGGGAGTGGTCTGCACTGGGACGTGGTTGAGCCTGATGACCTGGTCAGCTCTCTCCCGCGTCCAAGCTCCTTCCTCTCCGCCAGCCTGCTGAGCTCGAGAGGGCCCCGGCCAGGCCTTCACCTGCCCCCACCCCAGCTGGTCTCCCACGGGCACCTGGCCAGCCTGGCTCAGGCATTTCCCTGTCACTGTGTCCTCAATGTGGAGAGCCAGGGCTTCCCAGGGTGAGAAACCCACCACTATTTTCAAGATACAATCTTATTGGCCATTCTCTCGTTGTGATGTAGAGTACAGTGTGGCCATGAAGGGGACACTTAAATGGGTCCTTTACTGTTTAGGGAAGTGGGGAGGCTCCAGCCAGGAATTCTGGAATGCCCGCTTTGCTGCAGGCTGGTCTTGCTCTGGCCTGGGCTCCCCCCCAGCAGGCCCCTGTGCCTGCCCTTCAGCTCCCTGACCTGGCCTTTCTGCAAACACCAGGCACACCCTGGCCCATGCTGTCCCACTCCCTTGAAACCCTTCCCATGCTCACCCCAGCAGAGTCCCGCTCCTGCACATCCTGGTTCTGACAGCATCAGGTCAGCCCCTGCCAAGGGCCCTGCAGTCTCTGTGTCCCCTCCCACGTACTTGCAGCCCAAGTCCTGTGGCAGAAAACAGGTGGGCTCCAGTGGTCTGTCTCCACCCTGTCCAGGGGGCACTGTGCCGTCTGGGGTGGAGGAGGGAGTGTGCTCGTAAGTCCTATGTGACCCTCCCCTAGCCGTAGCAGGGAGGTGTTGCTACGCCCACATCACAGCTGAGGAATCTGAGTTGCAGAGGCCAGTGCCAGCCCCTCATCTGAGGCCAGGGCCCACCATCCCGGCGCCCCTGCGGGTGGAGAGCACTCTTTTGATAACAGTGTTGTGCTCTGGCAGTGAATGCTGGGTGTGAATCATGGCGCTGTCCATCTGAAAAGGCACCCTGGGGTGGCGGCCTGGCCCCCTGGCTGCAGCCCTCTCATCTCCAGCAACACCAGCACCGCCCTGGGCTTGCTCATGTCCAGCCCCGAGTGAATGGCCTCCGTGGGGCTCTGCTTGTGTCCCAGGTGTGGACTGTCACCAGGGCCCCCCCCACATTCCGCACTACACTGGCCATCGTGGAACAGAGCCTGGGTAGCACCAGGACTCCATGCTGCCCGGGGAGCCCCCAGCACCTCCGTGCGCAGCCCACGCAGCCACTCCTCAGGGACCCACCAGCCGGCAGCCACAGCCTGGAAGGTGGTGGGTGTCCTCCGGGCCCAGGCGGCAGTCCGGACTTCTCTCTTCCAGAGCTACATGGGCCCCCTGCGGCTGGTGCTGAGTCCGGCGGACATGGCAGCTGTCTTCATCAACCTGGAGGTAAGGCCCGCCTGGCTCCTGGCAGGCTCGGAGTTGGCTGCTGCTCCGATGTCAGGCAGGCTCATGCGCTGCTGTCCCCGGGAGCTTTGAGAGCTATGTCCCTGCCAGCTCCGCAGTTGACTCATGGCTGACTGGTGGCAAGAGGAGAGACACCGCCCCCTTCTCTGGGGACTTTGGCGTTAGGAGCTGGAGGACAAAGTTTCTGGCTGCGGCATGAGAGGACCTCCTTGCCCTCTGGTGGGCTTGGCACAGACATGCGCGGCCCTGGAAGGGGCACCGGAGCCGCCGAGGACTGTTAGGTTTTTGTCAGCAGCTGGAGAGAAACGTGTCCCTCCCTGCCGTGAGCAGCCCCCTCGCCTGCTCTGTGGTGTCTGCACGCAGCCTGTGAAAGGCAATTCCCTGTGGGGAGATTCACCTCCACGTGGTCGGCAGAGCGGGGGTCAGGAGGCCACACATGGGTGGGCTGCCTCTGGGAACACTTGCCCCGGCGCTTCCCCTTGGCCTAGCACCGCAGGAGCCAGCAGCCAGGGGTGCGGCTCTGTCCTGCCTCTCTCGGCCTCTCACTGGGTTGAGGGCTGGGCTGTGGTCACGCTCCCCTGGATGAGGCTGTCCGAGGCCCTGGAGCTTCCCGTTCTCTGTGCTCTTGACCCAGAGTTCATCCTGCTATGAGCCATGACCAGGACAGATGACCACAGACAGAAAGGGAGCTGGCAGAGGTTGGGGAGGCCAGGGTGCTGCCTGCTGGTCACCCATCTGCTCTGTGTGGGGAGACACACCTCCCCCAGGTTGAGGCCCTGACTCTGCACTGCAGAGAGTCCATCCCATGCAGCCCTGACCAGGGCCGCTGCTGAGAGCCTCTCTGCCCCCACATGCATGGACAGCCCCGAGGACACTGGCTGAGAGCAGCCGCTGTGTGTGCCCCCATCTTGTTCTGCACGAGAGCCTGCCTGTGTCAGCCACTGCACGTCCAGACGGGCCGATGCTCCCCTTTGACCATGTAGTGGTCTCCTCCGTGTACCCGTCGCTGTGGGACTTTGCAGCTGAATTGCACCCTGGCGTTGACGGGGATGCGGGTGTGGGCCCAGCTCCCAGGCCTCTCACGTGGAAGTCCTTCACGCTTGATCTTAGCCAAGAGGCCGAGAAGCGATCACATAAAAGTCCTAAACTGAAAGGGCAGGACTGCAGGGTGCGTTTGGGGTGCAGAGAGCACCCTCCTCGCGTGGGCGGCCTGTTCATGCTCTAATTGCTCCTGTTCCTCCCAGGACCTGATTAAGGTGCATCACAGCTTCCTGAGGGCCATCGACGTGTCCATGATGGCGGGGGGCAGCACTTTGGCCAAGGTCTTCCTTGATTTCAAGGAAAGGTGAGTGTCCAGCCTTGACGGCTCCTCAGCCCCTCCCTGCCTGTGGGGCCTCAGGAAAGTGTCTGGGCTTCTCTCAAGACCCACCCTGGGGACAGAACAGAGAGGTGGGGAGAGAGTGCGCAGGTGGGAATCTCATGTGCTGGCGTCCTGAGGCAGATGGCCGCACTCCCCCGATGTCCTCACTTGTAAACCAAGAACACTGCCTGCCCTCCCCGACCCATCACAGCCCGGAGGGACGCCCATGAGCGCAGTTTAGATGGGAGGGGTCTCATGGGGGCTCCACAGCCCCCTGTGCCTCTTGCTTATGTGGTGTCTTGTGTGGCTGACTGATGCCTGTGACGTCACGGCTCAGCGGTGGCAATGGTCCGGGGAAGCTGGGCACCCTGGAAGAGGCCGTCCTTATGAGCTCTCCACCTGGGCGGGGAGCTGGGCATGGCACGACTACTTCTGGAGAAAGACAGAGCCCAAACCCACTCCACACAGGTCTGAATGGGGCTTTGGGGACACCAGACTGGAGCAGTGACTCAGTCAGCAAGACAGTGTCATGGCGGCAACCTTGGGTACCAAGGTCCCCAAGGCTCAGGCCACTTTTCTGCTTTGCCACTGACGATGTGTGACTCTGCGCCTTGACTTCCTCATCTGTGGATTAGGGGACAAGGATGGCATCTGTTCTATACAGAATCCTGAGGGGAACGGGGACTTAGCCTGAGCTGCCAAGACAGCTGGTGATGCCCAGTGAGCTGCTGCCATGGCCGGCAGGAGGAGGGCCTGGGCCCCAGGGAACAAGGCGGGGGGTGCAGGGCTGCAGCCACGGGCACAGGCACTCGGACATGGGGAGACGTGTGGAGATGTGTTTCTGGAGCCCGCAGGCGCCAGGTCCCGGCTCTTCCTATTGCATCCCTGTCTGGTCTCCTCCAGGTCTCCGGAGCTTTCAGGACAAATGTCCATGAAGCCCGGGGGAGTGTAGATGTGATTAGTCAGAATTCTGTAACTTCCTGAACCTGCGGCGGCCCCTCTTCCCCCGTGGAATCTTGCAGGAAGAGACCAGGCCAGTGTCTAGAGGCAGACATGGTGCTGGGCCTTTGTAGCACCACGAATCCGCCTGCCTTAATCATGCCCACCAGGTTGGCTCCCGCCACTGCCCCGGGCTCCTCGTCCAGAGCCAATATTGTCAACGGGGGGGGTTGCAGCTTGTTTAAAACAAAACATCGCTGTCAGGAGGCCTCCGTGCGCTTGCCCCTTCTTTGCTTCAAGCCCGTCCGTCTGTCCGTTTGCATCCCCAGGTGATGGAGGTGGTGAGAGCTGGCCTTCTGTCCTGCTTCTGAAGCTTCTAAGTAGGCGTGTAGGGGCGGCCTTCAGTGTGGCCCTGCCGTCCCAGCGGGAGGTCTCAGGCCTTGAGGATGCCGACAGGCCTGAATCAGGAGAGGGCCTGGACGGTGCCTCACGCTGTTGGAGGCTGGGGACGTGGCGTTTCTGGCCACTGAAATCCTAGGAGATCCATCAGGAGACAGTGACTTGCTTTCAGTCACTCAGAATATTTGGAGAACGAGCCAAGGTGTCTGTTAATAGCCCCTCAACCTGGCTGCTTGTCAGAGCCTCCTGGGAGCTTGCTAGAAATACTGCTTCCTGGGCCCACTCTGAAGGGTCTGATGCCTGCTCTGGGGAGCTGTAGGAGGCCCCACAGGGGAGGTTGACCATGTGGTCCTGGGTGCACACATCGGGACCCTGGGTCCATCTGTCTGTCATTTGAAGGAGTGTCGCCAGTATCTTCCACCAGGTGACTGTCAGCTCAGCCCAAGCCCTCCCTGCTGGGGTGGCTGGGGACAGTCCCAGGGCTGGATTCTCAGGCTCCTTCACCCGGGCAAACCTGAAAGTGCCTCTCCATGTGCTCTGTAGCTCCAGGCAGGGAACCATGTCCCCTCCTCAATGGGGAAGGATCCCAGAGCCTGCTGTCCAGGCGGCCCTGGGTTGGGGAGTTTCCAGAGACATGAGAGAGCAGGCAGTGCCTGTGGACAGGTGGCAGTGGTGACCAGGACAGCAGACAAGGCCCCAGCAGGTGTGAGCACACTGGCCAGCCCCTGGGAGGGGGTGGGGAGCAGGACAGCTCCCTAACCCGCCACCAACAAGGTGTTCCTCTCAAGTGGCTACAAGCCAGTGTGCCAGTGCCAGGCGAGTTGACAGATCCTCACCCAGGTAGCAGGCATGGCAGACCTTCTCAGCACCCTGTTAGTGCTGCCCCTTGGACGGGGAGGGAGGCCATGGACAAAGCATGGCTTGCTGCAAGGCCCATTAAAGATCAAGGCTACAGGGCAGGGACATCTGGCTGGGTGACCGAGGGACACATGGACAACCTGCCCTCCCAGGAACCTCCACATCCCTGGCAAGGGCTTGGGGCCTGTCCTGTCCCCACAGCCCAGATCACCTTTGAAAAGACTCGGCCACATTCTCCACGCAGGATCTTGCTTACGTAGCCCCTCGGACCTGTTTCCTCTGGGGAAGGGCAGCGTCTCCACCTTCCAGGACTCCCCCTGGGGGTGCGCTGATTGCGTGCCCGGCACAGGAGCTTGGCAGGCTCTGCCACCCGGCCCAGCGGGCATCCAGGGCCCAGACCCGTCCGTCAGGGTCCATCTGGGAAAGGAGCTGGCTGCATTTCACCGAAGTCCATTCACCAAATCACTGGGGTTCTCTCCCAGCCTCTAACTTTTCTCCACTTTCTCTTCTCATTTTGGAGTCGGCCCCAAGGTCCTGACGCTCACTTGCTGACTATTCCACAAGCATTTATAGAGTGCTTGCTGTGTACAGCTCCTGAGCACTGGGCCAAGGACGCTGTGGTGAACGGAGCAGGCCCGGCCCTCGCGGGCAGGAGGGGTGAGAACCAAATCCACAGACAAGGAGCCCATCGGGGCTGGGAGCCCAGGAGATGCGCGGGGCTGGGGGCACACAGCAAGGACGGGCCCCCTGAGGACAGCCCTGAAAAGTGGGGGCGGGTGGGGAGCAGCAGCTCGTGGGACGGTCCCAGCGGGAGGCAGGAGCGAGGTGGGAAAGACGAGGTCCTGGGGAAGCAGCGGGACCAGGGCCAAAGTGGCCCCAGCGGGCGGCCGACGGAGGAGAGTGAAGAATCCCAAGTGTGGAGGGAAGAAGTTGCGTAACACCCAGCTTGATGAGGCTAATCCACTGACTCCGGAAGGGCTTACTGCGCCGGACAGCCCTCCGTGTGATAATGGGGCCTTCAGAATCGAAATCAGCTTCCAGCAGAGCACCCATTCAAACCACTGAAGATCACATTGAAGACAAGGATCTATAATCCGAACGTCAGTGACAAGGGACAGGTCTGTCTGCCAGTAGTTAGTGCTGAAAACTGGAAGCCAGCAACCCAAACTAAGCAAGTAATCCAGTCCCTCATAGCACTGGTGACCGACCCCCGGCCTGAGCACCTCATTCGTGACCTAGCCAAACAATACTCTTAAGGGCCATAAAAAAATTCTATACGAATTCTGAAGAGTTCACAAAGGAATATGGGGAAAAGCAACCTGCGGACTAAAACCTGCCGTGAGTAATTCCAGCAAGCATGAGCAGAGACCGCAGGCAGTGCATTCAAACACCCTGCAAAGCAGCACTCTTGCAAACTGACACATGCCACCGCCTGGCGTTCGCTTGTGGCAGTTGCTAACTTTCTACAGTTTTCTTAATCAAAAGTGGTTTAGGTAGCCTGTAGAGAGAGTATTAAAATTTTAAGATGTTCTATTTAAAAAGAAAAAAGGAGGTTCACTAAGACATGATTGGAGTGCTCTGCAAGGGTCTTCTATACTGAGGTAAAGAATTTAGAATTATTTTTATTTATTTATTTATTTATTTTTTAAAGGATGACCGGTAAGGGGATCTTAACCCTTGACTTGGTGTTGTCAGCACCACGCTCAGCCAGTGAGCGAACCGGCCATCCCTATAAGGGATCTGAACCCGTGGCCTTGGTGCTACCAGCACCGCACTCTCCCGAGTGAGCCACGGGCCGGCCCCTAGAATTATTTTTAAATGAGAGCAGGAGGGGTCCACGGAGGGATTTTAGTGGCAAGATGCTGGCAGCTCATCATGGATGAAGGGTGGGGTAGCATCCAGGTGTGGCATGAGCAGCACCGAGTGGCAGAGGACAGTCACCTCCCTCTTTTTGAAGGTTATGCTTCTGTTAATGCAACCTTGGTCCTTAGATGAGGCAGAAGGTCCTCTTAGCCTTGTCATGTGGGCCTAAAATGGGCATCTCCACACAGAGGGAGGCTGGGCCTTGGAAAGGAGTCTGTATTTTGCAGATCCTGATGTAAGAAAAAGCCACATCATTTTTTTCTGTGGCTGGGGCTGGCCAGCCTGGGCCTGGAGCCTGAGTTCCAGTGCTTATTTCGGGTAGGTCATGCGGGATGGATGTGGGGCAGTAGAATTACGCAGCGAGCCGGCCTCAGGATGCTGGCGGCCAGCAGGAAGGCCATGGACTAGCTTTTAAGAGGAACTCTCTGTGGAGCTCTGCACAGCACTGTCCAGAGAAACGCAGATCAGAGCAAGATTAAAGGCGACTTCCCCGCCCTCCTTCAGGGCTGTGTGGGCTTTCCCTGCGTGTTGGGAGATAAAGAAGAGACAGGTGATCCTGTGACTTTGGCATGCTGTGACTTCTGGCTGCTCAGAATCTAAAACCAACAATGCTGCTCTTCTGATGTGAGTTCCTTTCACAGGATCTGACCTCAGGCCCAAGGCTTTGTGGACCCAGGGCAGGCCTGCGGGGAGAGAGTCGCCCCCATACAAACCTCTGGAGCCCCCAGCAGGTTTGCTTGGCTGCCTCATCTGGCAGGGCTGCCCTTGGGACCCTCTGAACTTGAGAGGCCTTTAGCTCCTGCTCGGTCAAGTCCCCATTTCCCAGCTGAGGAAACTGAGGGTGGGAGAGAGATGGCGACTTGGCTGTGGTCCCAGCCTGTTCTGCATCTCCAAGAACACCTGAGCCCACAGCCGGTGTCCCTCCACCTGCCCTGGGCCTGGGCAGCACGTGAGTTTGGGATTCTGTGGATGAGAAGCAGAGGGGATGCGAGGAGAGACGGGGGCAGATCAGAGTCCCTTCCAGAAGGTGCGTTTGTGCTCTCTGTAGTGGGGTCAGAGTCCAGTGCTCAGAAACGTACGTCACGCCAGCCTCGTGGAAATATATCCTGAGCTTGTGTCAAATATCCGTTAGCTCACAAATGAGGGGACTGGACGGAGGGGGAAGCTCGCTCAGAGGGGCGGGGGGGGGTGAGGTGGCAGCCAGCTCTCTTCCCTGTCAGGACACATCATCTGCACCTGGACAATCTCTCCGAGGGCGCGTTCAGCTGGAGTCAGGCCGGCTGGTTTCCAGGGTGCTCTGGCTGGCGGGACCGAGGATGCACCAGGTTGTGTGTGTGCGTGTGTGTGTCTTATTTCCAAGTTTTGGATAACTTTCTCAACAGTGGTAGATGTTTGTGGTTAAAATTAAGGCCTGTAAACTTTCACTTTCTTAACCAACTTTCTCCAACCGGGATAAAATCTCACTGTCAGTTTCTTTGGATTTTCAAGGAAAAGTCAAACCGGCCCCTTTGGGACCCTGTGGCTCACAGGGCCGGGCGTGGGGCAGACTCTCGGAAGTGCATGGCAGGGATGGAGGATGAAGGGTGTATGTGAGTGTCCTGAGGTGGCCGTAACAAATGACCGCAAGCAACAGAGTTCAAAATTAGTCTCACTGGGCAGACATCCAGGGGTCACAGGGCTGTGCTCCCTGCAGAGGCTCTAGGGGAGGGTCCTTCCTGCCTCCTGCAGCTGCTGGTGGCCCCAGAGTGTCCTCAGCTTCTGGTGACATCACTCTATCTCTGCCTCCATCTTCCCATGGCCTTCCTGTGTGACTGTGTCTCCCTTTCTGTGTCTTATGAGGACACCGCCTTGGATCTAGGGCCATCCCAGTCCAGTCTGATCTCATCTTGATCC